ATTGGCTTTGGTTTTACTTCTGATTGGATGAAAAGGTGGCGCGAATCTTTTAAGCCAATCGCATCGTGTAGAAAGTGCAAAACCAATTACTTTTCGACACTCAAATGAAAACCGCTCTATTACTAAGCTAGTTTTAGGTCTATGCTGTATCTTTAAGCGCCATCTTATAACCTGCGTGCAAACTCATAGGAGGGGGAGAGGGGAAGAGGTGGATGGTCGTCTCCCCAGTCCTGCTTGAAAAAAACGAGGATCGTAACTTACAGTAAGGATCTCGAATTCAGGTAGCAAGAGATATGATGCACTCATCCTCTTCTGACACACTTTCCTAAAGTCGCTGATGGTCCCTGCATTCTTTTACATTTACGCGTTTTGCCCTGACCTTTCGTGCTTCACTCCTTCACTCACTACAAGTCTTTCGAAATTCCACTTGACGGCGAGTCAACAGTGGTGTTTGTTCACTACGGAAGTCGCACTGAGCACTATATCATCATATTGTTTATGAAAAATAACTGCGAATTCTTTCATTGAAAAAAGGAAACAAAAATGTAGTTCATGGAAACATGAAATAAGGCGACTTAGCATGGTTTAGCAAGCGGCTCGCACAAATCTTCTAAGCCCAAATTTCTTCTTTAAAAAAATATAACACAGACATTTCTCGAAGGTGTTTATTCTGAGTGAGCGGGAATGGAGTGATCAATATATTTGATTGTTGGATCTGAAGGATTATGTTGAATTGTGGATAATATTCACTCACCACACTGTCAAGATTAACAAAGGCTATGTCAACAGAAATCTTTACTGGTGTTGAAGGCCGCAGATCCTTGTTGTAGCTTGAGAAAAGCTTTTGCATCAGTTTCCATTCGTCAGATCTGTTCATTTCTAGAGAATGATAGATAATTATCCCTTAAACCACCTGCCACTGAGCATTTTGCTTCCGTTTTGACAAAACATTTGGTCATCGAATGACCTTATAGACTATTTACTGTGCCGATTCATGCACACTTATAAACTGAACCTCTTATCACATCACGAGAAATTTCAGTGCAGCAAGCTTGATGATAATTATGCACCATAAGGTGACCCTTAGAAAATTCAAGTCACTATTGTCATTGTTCTTTTATCATCGTTCACATGACCCAAGACACCCTTGAAGGTCGTATTTTGGCCCCACCCTCCCGACCCTCGCACCTTCCCGTAATTACCTGACCGTCTTGGTTTTCCGCCCTTTCTTTTGCTCTAAGTTAGGGTCGCAGTATGATACTATTCCGTAAAATAAACCTTTCCCACTTTTTTTCCCCATCGTAGCTTATTATTCAACCATAACATAACTTCATTTGCTCATGTTATCTTTAAGTTATATACCTTTGGCAGCGTTAAAGCTTTTAAGCTGCAAAAATTAACGTCACCTGTATCTTTACTGGGCGGTCGCACAAAACCAAGACATGTGCAAGGACACAATGTGTTCGTCTGTAACATGAACGCTGGCATTCTTAACCAAGTATTCTAACAAACTATAGATTTTTCTTCTTCGAAGGAACAGCCTGCTAACAAACAGGATACAACAACTCCGGCAGGTGTTTTTAGCGGGGCGAGAAAGAAAAAAAGATTCTTTTAATCTATCGTGAACGAAGGAAATACCTCTAAAAATGCACCAGAATTTAATTCCACTCATGCAGTTAGGAACTTTCTTTTTAGTCCCTAATTCTAGATTACACGACTCTAAAGTTCAGTAAGTGTGTGAGATCAGGATGAGTTTAATATTAATTCTGGTGAGAGGTTGCTCAGTGCTCAGGGCTACTGTTACTCTCATGGTGGTTTTATTTTTATTGCTCTCAGTGTACTCAATGGTTTTCATATCTGTGTAGGTGTGTGAAAACCATATAGCAATTCGAATGATCATGTTAACAATCATTGTTGAACAGCGGTTCCTGCGGTTTCATTCTGTTTCTTGTGCTAAAGACCGAATTCGGTTCTAATTTTCGAGCTCCACGCGCTGTGTTTCAAAGAAACAAAGCAACTTTGAATTATCATCACTTAAGGCAATATTTCATATGGTACCGTTTGCTTCGGGTATTTTTAACAAGGAGTTCGACATTTTCACTTCCTGAAAGTATGATTGCTTTTAAACTGGTCGATTCAGGAATAATAAGATACGCGCAGGCAAAAGATGATAATAGGACATCAAGAATCATCTCTTGATGTTTGCTGGAACCTTGTTGACGCGGAAAAAGCGAGTATGAATCAGTAGCACCTGGGAAAGTTAGTTCTGTATGGGCTCCAGATATTTCATGCCTAACCCCGGCTCACCGATACTTTAAAACACTGACCTTGATCTCCAGATACTGCCAGCAATACTGCAAAAATAATACCACCGAGACAAAATAGATTTATGTGCATGTTGAATGCTTCACTCAGTGGCTAAAATGTTGTTAACCTCACGGAAGGTCCACTAAAAGCCTTTTAGTTTCTTAAAAGAACTGTTTGTTTTAACTTTAATTTGTGACGTCTTAACAGGTGGTATATTGAGGCAATTTTTAGGAAAGAAAACGTTATCAATCCTAAGCAAGAGCAAAAATTAGCATCGGTTAGATATGACTATCTTCAGTCATGTCTAAATTGTTTATCTACTGCAAACCAACAAATAAACATAATAAAAATTGCAGATTTTAGATACTTGGAACAATTTCAAGAATATCAAACTTTGATCTCAAGCTAAAAGATATCATTGCAATGATGGTAAGCCGAGTCAGTCTAAAATAGCGAACCAGTAAGAGAACGCCTTATAATCCATATGTTCAAGGAACCAATCAGAACGTGGGTTATGTTTTCCCGTAGTTCAGTTTGCTCTAGACAGATTCAGAATATTTAGACTAGAAAAAATGCTTGAGAATGTAGCTCTTTTTATCGTTGTTTAGAATTTCGTCTCAGGCCGTTTTAGATCCTTTTAACTTTTCCGGACATGCAAGAACAAAACCCGAATAAGTAATTTGTGAGCAATTTCTTATAAAAACATCTTGGAGGAGTCTGAATTATACAAAATTAATTATGAGATGAATAATTTATTGACGTATATAAAAAGGGACTTCCAGCTCAAGTCCCAAAGCGGAGTTATTCCCAATCGGGGTAGTTAGGAAATATCATGAGTGCCATTTCTATGACCGCTCGCTTCTTCTTTGTTTAGCCAAAGACGGTGTTGACCTCTGGCTAGCCTTGAAGCATCCAGCAGCCGCAAGAAAATTCTGGTACCCAGTGCAGTTATGTAACTGTTCTTGAAACGTACTCTGCAATTTTCGTTTCAGTGTTAAAAACAAAGGTTACAGAAAAACGTACGCGCGTCGTCGGACGATGTCACTGAGTGATTTCATCAAGGCACATCCGAGAGGCCTGAGAGTTTTTTAATCCCATAATCCCTGCCCAAATTTTCGCTCAATCCCGTAATCCCGATTCGGTATACAGCATCCTGTGCATACGTTCAATCCCGAACCTCGCTTCTATGGCTTTAAAATCCCGAATCCTCGCCTTTAAATAAGGCAAATCCGGCACTTGGGCCCTATATGTTGTTCGCAGCTGTTAGTTAAATACTAGTCTTACTCTGAAGTCCGACCTCGTATAGCGAGACGCAACCTGAAATGCTGGACACCAAACAGATAGAACTTAAAACAGTCACAAAATGAAATCCATGATGTGTCAGTACAAACTCTGGCCATTATGATCATGAAACTCGGTTTCCCTGATGAAAAGAGACTATCGATCTGTAGAACTTTATATTCTTTGGTTGATGTAAAGAAACAGCCAGAGTGAACATTACATCGTACCGTTGAAAAGTACTTCACGTTCTCATTGAACATTACAAGGCAAGCAGGAATGACCGCAAACTCAGACTTCCCAGAGTCTCCGCAGTTTTTTAACTGAGCCACCAACTTAGTGTCATATATATATAGCCAAGGGTTTCAAAACACAACGGTGAGGAAAGCGCTTTTCCTTTTTTTTGTTTAGAAAAGTAATAGGTGTTCGTCATTTGAGTTGATAAATTAAGGAAGTATTCAGTCAAACCACTGTGAGGTTAATTACCGCATCTTTATCGCCCCAAGACATCTAGCTTTTATTAAATAATAGTTTATCTATCTTTTGCCGGTCTGATGCTACTTTTGAAACTCAGTAGATTTCTCGAATAGTTGGTTAATTCGCAGCTGATCGCATTAACTAAGCGAAATATGTCACCAAGAGAAGAATAAAAAGACTTATTTTCGTCACATTTGTGTTTTACCTGGCGACAGATTTAGGACTGCGATGAAAGTCATTCCCTTCACTGCACGCGGATGATTGATAACCTTTTATATCAAAGTTCACTTTGGGTTTGTTGAATTGAAAACAAGTTCCCATTCATCCTTAAAGTGAAACTTCTGGTCTCAATCTCGCGAAAATTCTTGTAAGGTTTACTTTCCTTAACTTGAAAGCAATTATCTTAACTTATTTTAATGCACCTGTCTGCTAACACATGGCATTCGATGTCTTTTTAGCAAACCCACGTTTTCAACATGCTTTGTTTTGGATGCTAATAATAATTAGAATAATAATAAATTATATAATGAAAATAATAGCAACGTAAGTGTGGCGGTGCTAATAGCCCACACACAGCGAAACATAACTCGTGAATTGTTTTAGGAAATACGACTTATAATTATTCATGTATATTATCCTTTTTTTTGCTGTGTTACTAAAAAGGCGGACGAAATGAAACGCTGAACGGAAGCGAAAGCGGTTTTTATCGTTATCTATGAATCAGTAAAACGACTTGATCGTTGATATGTACTTTCATAAAATTAGGCTATATTTATATTTCAAAAAGGACTACAAGCGATGGCGTGTGTCTAATTATCAATTGCCAAGGGGGAATAATCGAGAAAGCTAAGTTTAAGATGCAACTTGTGGGGAGCAGAATCTCTTTAACCCTTCCTAAAGGATGTTCTTTTCTAGGTTGCTTTCCCTGAGGAAAAGACATGCTTCAGTTGCACGGACAACGATTGAGGCCAGAGAGAAGACAAAGGCGTCTTACTGACCCTAACTGCTTGTACTACCGCTACGGAGACTATTCAAGAACTAGAACACCATATGTTCAATCTGGTCGCAGCCGACGGCGAAGCGATCGTACAAACGGAATTACAGCAAACGTCAGCGGGAAAAAGTTCTTCTTCACCACCAGATTACTAGCCAAATATCCACAGAGTCTTCTGGGTCATAAACACAAACGGAAATATTTTTACGACTGCATACGGGACGAATACTTTTTTGACCGGAACCGAACAGCTTTCGAAAGTATTTTCAATTTTTATGTTTCTCGGGGAACCCTCGTGGTTCCGGATGAAAGCTTCCCGGAACAGCTTTTAATGGATGAGTTCTACTTTTTTGGACTATACGAATACGTAAGTGATAATGACAAAAAAAGCTTAATCACTCCGAGCGCGCTGAAAAAGAGACAAATCGCCCCCAAAAGAAGGTGTCAAAGAGAAGTTTGGAAAATCAGCGAAAATCCTGACTCGAGTGTCCTCGCCCGTCTGATAAACTTGTTTTCTTTACTTGTTATCATATTTTCAGCCATCATTCTTTTCATTGACACTCTACCAGACGCGCGAAGATCAGAATCTTCGACATTCAACTCACCGACGCCAACCAAAAATTCTAGCGATGCGAATACCTCTGCCACAAATCCAAACTACGAACAGTTGCCACAGATCATATCAGCGATGGAGTCATTTTGCATCGTATGGTTTACTTTAGAACTTCTTACGAGATTTTTTGTATCACCAGAAAAAAAGAAATTCTTTCTCCAAGCGCTAAACCTCATCGATCTGATAGCTATCGTTCCGTTTTACATCTCCTTGATTATTAGCACGCCTATGTCTGCTGCCCAGTTGTATATCATGCGGATCCTAAGACTTTCCAGGGTTTTCCGTGTTTTAAAAATCTCTCGGTACGTTTCAGTAATGAAAGTGCTTGGATTAACTGTCAAGGCGAGTGTTAACGATTTTTGGACAATGGGCTTTTTAATCTTAATTGGAACTGTTTTATTTGGTAGTACAACTTATTACTGTGAGCAGTGGGACGCGGACACCAGTTTTAACAGCATTCCTACAGCCTGCTGGTGGGCTTTGGTCACCATTACAACTCTCGGTTACGGTGATCTAGTACCAACAACCCTCGGTAAGTATGCAACACCTCACCTTTCAATGCTCGAGTTGTTTGAAGAATTGTCATACTTAATTACCCACGATTTATAGTATTTTCAATTAGCATTATTTACTCGATTCATCAACCACGTCCACACGGCGCTTTTGCCTAGCCTTGGAAAAGCGCCATCGGGACGAGCTTGTCGAATCATCTAATCAGAGTTTAAAATGATCTCTTTTAGGACTCAAACAAAGGTTGGGCCACGCCCAGGTTGGTCTCCTTTAGGGTTTTAATTCAAAATTTCCGACAAGCATCCTGCGAAGTAATCCGCTTTCTAGATCAGCGCGGAGCCTGAGCTTCGCTGCGTTACAGAAACCGCTCCGAGATCACTGTTCTTTTATGCGAGTGAAAGAGAACTAATTTCCGATATGGTATTATGCAGCGTAAGAGGTTTCGGTATGGTGTAGACAAAGCCTTAGTCAGTGTGGTTTTCTTGTTGTTGTTTTTCAGGAGGAAAGATAACAGGAGGCATGTGTTCGGTCTCAGGGGTCTTGCTTATTACACCTTTTCTGCCAATCATTTTCAACAAGTTTAATCGGTTTCAAGAGTTGGAAAAGGAATCTTCTTCCGTAGCAAAGAACGACAAGAGCTACCCACAGATTATACCAGTTTATTCACAATATGAGGTCAACGAAAAATATATCAAACGAAGAATACGACGAAGATATACTATGTAAAACGTTCACAAAGTCCTACGCTCCTACTGCTTAATGTTCTTGGACTCACTTGAATGATATGAACTGTAACAGATCCAAGTGTGAAGAAATAACTTTTCAAAAGAAGAACAATACTACTCAGGGGCACGCAACGACTGCTTTCTGCAAAATATCTTTTCGGGGAAGCAGATTTGGTCTACAATTTTCCGGCTACTTGAGGACGGCTGAAAATTTCTAAATAACCGTTCCATTTATGTACAAGTTTCGAAGCTTATCTAATAAATGTCCTATGATTTTCTTAAGTTTATTTTCTCATATTTCTCTCCAGGTTAGGCTGTTTTTCGTAGCAAAAGGAAACCTAAAATTTTCGGATTTAAAAATGTGATGGAGAGAGGAATCAGAAGAACTCTCACTTTGTGATACGTTAAATTGCATCTTCACTTTTTGGGATAGTAAAACTGAAGCCCTTGCAATTTCGAAAAGACTCAACTTCCCCTAGGATGACCAAAAACAGATACAAATTTTATAGCGCCACTTAGAATGCTTTTAGATAGAGATCTTTAAGTACTCTGGGCAGCCTAAAAAGTGTTTTCAATGTATTTAGGAGGAAACCGTTTTTCAGTGCCCCTGAACAATACTACTAATTACGCTAACTTGACCTAACTTGGGGTTACCTTCGAGTCTAACTGTTTATTTGCTAAGCAAATTAAAACTAAACTAAATGAAGCGAACAAATGTCTTCACATAATAAGAGAACTTAGGAAAGAGGGTTAGCCAAGGAGAAATCGGTCATCTTTTTAAAGCGATCTTTCTTCGTAAAATAGTGTAATGTGTCCCTGTTTATGGCGCACGCCAAGCAGATTTAATTACAGTTCACTGCTTCCTGAAAAGATGCTTTAAGAGGTGCTACCCCTCAAAGCTTTATAATATCCACGAGCTCTTGGAAAAATGTGATAGGAGTAGCGACAGTTCTCACCCGTTTTACCCTATGTTGCCTCGAGCCAAAGCGTCCTCCGTTAAATTTATAGAAATACTAGTCAGTCACCTAAGATAAACACTGAAAGTTATAAAAGTAGTTTTCCGTAACAGGCTCAGATACAATTTACAGGGGTGGACGGATGATCTCGTGATAGAGGGGCCCTAGAGATATAGCATACAGTGGCAATATGGGCGCAATGGCGCCCATCAGGATAGCGAACGACGCACTTTTCTAGGGAGTTTGGTGCCCATGCTCCTCCGGGAAAGTTTTGACATCGAAGTCCTCTGAGATGAAATATAGTGCATTCTGGAGGCTTAAATTTAGTAAATGCCTGGATTCCAAATTGAACATGTAAAAATGCTGAAATATTTAAGAAACCTCAGGTGTGGCTGTGGTCAAAGAAGTAACACTTTATGATGCTAGCAGGGGCCGAAGCGATTGCGGCGCTAGCACAACCTCCCGGCAAAGGCGGCAACATTGTCTCCCTGAAAAGTTATCAAATCCAGTTTGTTTGAGACGGATATCCACTGGATGATCCTGGGAGCTTTGGTCATTTGCGACTGAAAATGTAGGCTTCGATCACAGATTCTGTTCTTATTAATAATGTTTATTAAAGAAAATATATTTAAGTAACAAAGCTCAAAGTACAATCCGACCCCCGTTGCCCTTTCGGGATTTCCTGCGTTAGTCGCAAGAAATATTTTTCTACTTGGCCATATAATAAATTCTTTGTTGACCAAGCTTGTTCGTTCAAGATGGCTGTATATTGGCCTCATTCTAGATCATTCGTTTTTGCGTTTTTATTGACCCCGACTTCGTCTCTGTCCATAAAAACGTAAAAAAGGCCAAAAGCAGCCATCTTGAACGAACAAGCTTGGTCAATAACGCATATGTATTTGTGTTTTTTTTTTATAGAAGTCAGTGATTTTTTTAAAGAATTCGCTCCTTGTTAACATTTTTTAGAATAATACATCTTCCGTCAAGCACACGAACGACATGTTATGATTGAGTTAAGTTTGTATTAATCTTCTTTTTTTGTCACGGCCACACACTTCATTTTTAAACGGGTGTTACAATGATTGCCAGTTAATAGCTATTTTCCCTGTCGTTGACCTGATTTCAAATAAGGGGCTGACGCCGGACTATAAATAGTGCCAAGAGCCATTTGACATCCCAGCTTATAAAATTGTCAAAATCAGTATCATCACCAAGAGTCAAGGGCTCTGGCATGAATATTTCAATTTTTAAAATAAATGAGCGATTTTTCGCGCACTCATTGGTCGAGCAATGGTCTTACCGGGCTAACAATGCCTGGTACTACCACAGGGGACCCGAACGCTCTATCCCGTAGGGGGGGAGGTGGGCGTTACTGCCATATATCGGCTATATAGGTATCTGCCGCTGTGAAGGGTATGGTTTTCAAGCAGTTTACTCTAGGATAGCGTGTATAAATCAGAGCGTGTCGGTCTAGAATAGGGTATCATTTTTCAGGAAACTGATCAGTTGGTTGAAGATTTTATGTAGACTAGGGATTGTGGTATAAGGTTTTGTTTTGGCTAGACTGTGCTAGTGACCTCAGTAGTTTCTGGAAAACAGCTACTCTAGGATAGGGGGGATTTGGGGAGTTTACTCTAGTATAGGGTAGCAAAATTCAACTGAACTAGCTCTGGTATAGGTTAAGGGTTCCAGGGTACCAGCGGCACATTCCCACCCAGAAATTCCTAAAGTACCCCCCCCCCCCCCCCTTCCCCCAGGCGCTCTGTTAGCTAATAGCAGGAACCCACCAAAAATTTGGTGTATTTAGCCTGTATTAGCTAATAAGCTAATAACATGTATTTATTTACCTTTGTTCCTGTGTCTTTATGAGTCGCTTTGGACGGGATTTGAATCCGATCAGAGATAGACTGCAAAACAGTCGGTTTTTTTCTCAAAATCAGTAAAGAAATCGGTAAAGCGTGGCGTAAGAGTCTTACGCGCGCGAAGCGCGCGAGCCTCATACGCCCGTAGGGCGTGTGAGGCGAGAGAAAAAAAACCGACTGTCCGTTTTCCATACAATATGTTCGTTCCGACCAGGGGGTTCAAAAATGACGTCGAACTGTCAAAAATCTGTTCGCAACTCCGCCCCCTTTGTGAATTTGATACACTCGGTAATTGATTTTAAGGGAGAATAGCGCGTGTTATTAGCGAGATTAAGATTCACGTTTACGCCAAACGGCAGACGTGAATTTGTAACACATGACCAAGTTTTTCCCTAATTTTCCGTTTACTCTTTATTGCTTCTACATAAAAATAAGTAGTTTTATGCCAGTTTTAACCATAGGAATCGTTCGGGACTGTTTTTATCTGCTTACTTTCTATTCTGAGAAATTCTCAACTTGAGTCTGACGTTTGCCGTTTGCGGTAAACGTGAATCTTAATCTCTCTATTGTCTGCTCTTGACGCTGTAATCCAGTAATTCTAAAGCAGTTTTCAGCGTTAGTTCTCTGTGAAATGTAGTATATATAGTGGAGGATCAAAAATGAGTGGAAGTGGTAGTACGACAACAAAGCCTGTGCCTGCTCCTCGAAGAGGGAGAAAGCTGAAAGAGCCGAGCGCTTCGGATAAATTGTAGAATGTGCGCGCGCGGCTATTGTTTTGTTGTTTTGTTGTTTTGTTGTTCGGCAATTTTACGAGTGGATGGATAAGCTCGGAAAATGTGTTTGTTGCGCCTACCAGAAAAGGGGAAACGTTACCAAAGTGGGCCGACCTACTGAAAAACGAACTTTTCGTTGGCCTCGAGGAAGGAGAATCTTTCTCCACAAGAGTTTGCTCTCCGTGCGGAATAGCCTTGTTCGAGACCTTTTGCTTGACTGCTCGCGCGTACTTGAATACGCAAAAATACGGACTGTTTTGCAGTCTAGATCAGAGACGGTTAACATAATTTGCTGGTTATCAAAAAATGCGTTTGCTTGTCTGGCGCGTCGTAAATAAGACGCTCAAGTTTCCTCTCACGTTTCAAATAATGTTAACTATTGACCACAGGTAGCCCAAGCTCCAAATATGAGCATCGGCGAACATCGGCATTGTTGCGTAACATTCGAAATATAAGGATTTGTATGGGAAAAAACCTATCGTTTCTGTAACCTACGAAAATGAAAGAATTTCAATAAAAAAATAGCTTAGCTTACTTAAAATATGTGTTACGTCTCTCCTGTGTGGTCCACGGGCCGATTTATGTCCGTTTTATGGGTTTTTATGTAAACGGTTTTCTCCATATATAAAGGTTTACCAAGGTTGGGGACTCCAGCGAAGGGGTCCGACGGATGCGCCGAAGGAAAACGGCCGTAAATTCGCTCCAACGGCTCCAGTCGCCTCCAAATTCCGACTAGGTAACACGCGATCAGTCGTCATGAAACTTGGCAAACAGTTTTAGCTTAGTGGTCTTAACAATACGTGACAAATTCATTGTTGAAATATTAGTCACGTGACCTGCAAATGATCGTTAACGTTCAAAGTGTTCAAATTAAAACGGGGCGAAAGGAAATGAAAGAGGAGCAAATATTCTTAGGCACCAGTGTTTTTTCCACGGCCTGGATATTATGAAATAGCCCTGCATGTATGCCTAAGTAGAGCAAGGATTACGAAATAAAGAAAAACAGGTCACGTGACTTATAAAAGACTTTAATATCTTAGCTCTAACGAGCATGTCCTTTAGGGATTTTCCTTTCTTGTAGGAAATGATAGGTGTTTCTTTAAAAATTTGGCGAAGTAGCGGTTGGTTTTGTATAATTTTCCTTTTTTTCATTAAAACTTCTTTTAAAATAGACACTGAGGGCTGGTACTGTGTCACGAAAGGCAATATTTCTTTTTCCTCTTTGTTGTGGTGTTTCACGAGAGCAGCCTCCCTCTCTGTGAAATTTATATCTGATAGAAGGTTTTCTAACGTAGTTTGTGGGTAGCCTCTGTCAATCAAGCGTTTTTTGAAATTTGAATATTTTCCTCAAACGTAGTTTTTGAGGAGTTTGTTAGTAGGATTCTCAAGGCTTCTCCTTTGAGAAATCCTTTATCACACTCGGCGGCTGACAAGAGGTGAAATGTGTGTACTGGAAGGTTTCCGTTTTTTTAAAATGTGTCTTTAAATCAAGGATAGATTTTTTCTTGAATCTTGTGCCCCACCTCCAAAGCCAGGGAAACGCGCCCTGGGGACGAGGTTGTTAACAACCTTGCCCCGTTTGAGAAAACAGGTTTTGTGACGTCATGGTCCAAGGAATGTCACGTGATGCTTCGGATGAATTTTCCAAGACTATTTTAGTGAGATATGTCTTATCATATCTTTGTGGAACCCTTTACTTGGATCGTTCTGCGTCATTAGAAAGGATCTTTGCATTCTCTGTGGGGGGTCAAAGGGTGGTCTGCCCGCCATATCACTTGCTTTCGGTTGAGCTAATGTTGGAGGTTCAACAGCCGGATTCGTTCATAATTCTGGTAATTCCCCGTTGGTCGACGTTGACCGTTCGTTCGCCAGGTTTACCTCGTCGACACTGTAACGCATTGCGTCGTTTAGTAAGGGGTAAGAACAGATCGAGCTTCAGAAATTCAACAGACTTTTAATTTTGTCAACGAAAAACACAAAAGTGAGAACGACTGCAAGAGTGATATGCACATGTTATGCAAGTTCACGTGGTATGACGTCATACACCACAGTTAGCATACTAAAGAAAAGCAAATAAACTAGTAGCACTTCTTCCCTGTTTACTTAATCAGCCTAATCACAATTTGCTTCAGAACAAAGTGGTAGCCGTGGTGAAAACACGTGGTTAGCTTTGTTGCTAGTTTAAGCGTTGACGAGAAAATTCGAGTTGTGCCTCACTGATGCAATCGGGATTTAAGCAATGAATAAAATCAAAACATTGTCGCTCATCTTCTCATTCATATTTGAAAGCATTTGCTTTATACGACTTAGCTTTCGTTGAAACGCAGTATTCTTGGAGCACCTTAAGGTACGATAATGTACTTAAATCATTTTTTCTGCACTACACGGCCACTAACAGTATATATTTCGATGTTTTGCTGATTTTCCTTTGAGTCATATTCATCAGTGCTAGAAATGCCTGCCTTCACAAAATTTTCGCTCGAGTCACGGACCAAAACAAACATATAATTTGCACGTCTGTTCTCTTCGTCGAAAATACTCACACTCAAATGTAAATTAACAAGAGCTAGGTAATAATTCAAATGGCAGCCTCAAGTAAAGCATCCGAAGAAACGTGCTTAAAAAGACTAACTTAAGGTGGACTAAATCTAAGCTCTGGTATTTTCTTTTTTCTTATATTTATTTTTAGCTCAAAAGCACAAGAATGGAATTCAAATTCTTGATGGTTGCTTTGTTGGTGGTGATGTCTTCGTCCTGGTATGAAGCAACGACCTGTCCTCGGTGGGTGAAATTAAACAAGTCGCCCGTCTGCTTTGGCGCGAAGGGGAACCAGTTTGGCCGTTTTTCTTACCATCGAAACACTTTCGTGAGTTCGTTCATGCTTGTGCACCGCTCGGGAAAGGTGACGTGTAACAAAAGCCAGTACAGCTACTGGGGATGTGCTCCTGATGCAAACGATTTTGGTGTCCTGTTGACCGATCAGAACAACAAGATACTGGCTCCAGAGGCATCAACCGTTAGCAAGGGTGGATGGTACAATCTGGCCGGATACAGCCCCTCCTCCGCGGTCCTTGTGTTCTGCGCCAAAAAGAAGGCTCAGTGTGTCTTTGCTAACAACGAGCTGCGTCTGTGGTATGGCGAAGATTTGCGCGGCCCTGCCAGCGAGAGCGACAATGGGGGCAAGACCTGCGCAGATGTATATGGTCTGTTTGCTTAAACAAGAAACTAAACTTGCGATGAAGACTTCAAAAATAACTAAAACTAATCTGTAACTGATTATGATATCATGGAAAAAGCGCAGAGCTTTGTAGTTGTTTGTTATTCTAACGACCAGAAACTCTGTAATGACTAAATAAAGTATCTCGCGGTGATATATATTCCGTAAGTTGTCTCTGAACTTTCTGCCCCTGAAACGTTTTGTTTCTTCCTCAATATTTTCACAAACACAGTTTGTTGCATGATAATGAAGTATTTAAATTCCAAAAAAAAAAAAATTCAGGCTAAGCCTGACTCTTGTCTCAGTAGATAAATGAACACCCTGCAAAAATTATAAACTCATGATGTGATTATTGCTATTCTGAGTACCACACAAGAGCCAGAAACTATTATTCATTAAACAAACTAAGGCTAGTAAAAATTCGCGACAGTGAAACTGTCCACGAAGATATCTTCTTCTCTGTAACAGAAACCAATTAATTACAGCTTATTCATTGGGCGAGCACTTTATTCGAAACATTTTTTCATAGATTCAGTAAATCGGGTTTAGCGTCGTCTCTTTTGGTGCAAGTATGATTCTACGTCTTGAAAGTTATCGGACTTTTTTATACCTTTTTGCCGAAAGGATAATCCTTGAACCGGGATAAGAAAGGGTAATTTTGGAAAGCAAGTAGAAATGACAAGAGAGAATTAGCTAGATCATTCTCTCTTGGAAATGAACAGTGCGCACGAGCTAGAGTGGGTAACACGCGCGGGGAAAAGGGAGATGATTTAATTTTAGCGTTTATGTTTCACCAAAAACAGTCAACGGTTTTGTCAGTAAAATCGAAGTTTGTCGGTAAAATAACTCCCTTGCCGTCATTTAACTCAGTTCCTCTCGAAATCTCAATTATTATCATTATGAATATGGGCTGCAACAAAACACTGAATCCTACTAACCCCCCTCACAGAGAGATAAATAATACATTAAGGCCGAGTTATTCTAATGAAAATTTTGTTTTTAACAGGGTCGACTTTAAAATTCAGAAATGGCGGAACTGGGTTGGATGCTATGAACAGATAGCATCGTTGAACTCTTGTGGTTAGGGAATACTTTCTCCTGCTGTTGAATTTAAATATATAAAAAAGGTGTAAAATTTAGAAACAGTCGAAGCTCTCGTAAGCGACCACCAAATTCGAAAAAGTAGTCGTAACTAGAGCTGGTCGGCTCGCTTACTAGAATGAGCTCGCATGGTAAAACCAGGGCGATGGTCGCTTACGAGAGCTTCAGAAACTCATGAATAATCTTACAAAAAGAAATAAATGTTTTTGAGTCTCTTTATATCTGATATAGACACGCCTAAACTTTACGTCCAATGTTTTAGACCATTAGTATAGTAGGAAGTTTCTGATTAATTGAGGTATCTTTAAAAAAATACAAGGCTTTTTAAGGGACCTTTCCAAGCGATCACTGGATGCCTTACGAGGGAAGAGAGGTCAAAGTTTGAAAGTTCTTTGTCAATTATTCTTGCATAATAAACATTTTTGAGTGAGATTTTGAAGTGACAAAATCTTGCACCGACTGTGCCGTGTGGTACGAAATTTTGGGGATTTTTCCAGCGATCCCCAAAAACTAAAGAATTCCAACCAAAAAAGGATTACCGCAAACATTTGTCCCGCAAAAATTTACTCTAGAGTAAGCTGACTGTAACTTAAACTTGATAATGGACGATAATATGAGATCACTTTCGATCGATCATCAGAACAATCAATGACCGAAGATGTTATGGTAATCGAACAAGAATCACTTCGTGAATTTTACCGGGGCCACTTTTGTCTTGGCAACCCACGTGGAAGGGTCGTTTTCATCAACAAGTTTGTCGGGCGACATGAAAATCTTTTTTATTGCAAATATTCTTTGGAGATGAAAACAAGGTGTTATGAATAATGTGAAAAGAGAAAATGTTAGAGAATCCCCCATTTCGAACAGTTGAGAGTTTTCGCATGTCGTTAACGTAAATATTGCGTAACAAAGGTTATGTGAAACAGTCTTTTTTGGTTTTTCATAAACAGTGATAGACTTTCTTGTAATGAGTCTTAATTATTTGTCGGCCAATATTTGACGAAGTTTCCTGAAGCGAGTTTGAATTCAGTGAATTGTAAGGTATTGAAACGCACAGACAAAGTTTCGCGCATGCAAGTTTAATAAGTTAAGATTTTTGTTTTGTCGTAGTATATACAGTTCAACAGCAACAGCGACTAAGCTTTGTCATCGTTAGGATGAATACTGTAACAATATTTTTCAATACACAGGGATCTCATTTATTGATAAGTGGCAAATATAGTCGCATTAACCATTCCGTTCCAAAACTAATCGAATTAATATTTGGCCTTAAGCCTATTTAATGAATAATTAATTTTCTTTGAATTATTTCAATATACTTCTAAATCACAAAGGTAAACAATTATGTCCAGTAAAGGTGAGGGCATAAAAACGCCCTAGTAATGGTTTAATGCAAATAAGGAAAGAGGAAAGGGCAAGGGGAGGAATAGGGAAAAAGTAATTTGTTCGCATGGCGAGTGTGTTAGAACGAATGACTGCGTTGCAGCAAAGGTCACATGTAATAAAAACTCCAGAACAATAGATGAGGGTTCAATACATTAACATGAGTCAACTCCCAATCCTGTTCAGATCGATTACATAATAATAAGAAATTTCTTAGCAACAAGAATCCAAAGTAGCTAAGAATAGCAAGGAGAAAAACATAAAAATTCTACATCAACGTCTAATGAATAATGTGAAAAGACAAAATGTTAAGGAATCCTGCATTTTGAACAGTTGAGAATTTGCGCATCTCGCTAACGTAAATATTGCGTGACAAAGGTTATTTGAAAATATTTTGTTTTGTTGCTTCATAAGTCAAAGCAGTGATAGACTTCCTCCTAATGAGTTTTAATTGTTTGTCGGAAAATATTTGACGAAGTTTCCTGTGAGGAGTGCGAATTGTAAGGTATTGAAACGCATAAACAAAGCTTGGCGCATGCAAGTTTAATAAGTTAAGATTTTTGCTTTGTCGTAGTGTACACAGTTCTACGTCGACCAAGCTTTGTCATCGCTAGGATGAATACTGTAACAATATTTTGCAATAGACAGGGATCTCATTCATTGATAAGTTACAGTTGTTGCTCCCTACTTCAAATTTCTGAACCAGCGATATATCCCATCGAACACTCCCAAAAGTAACGAGCCAGCGATATATCTCAGTCAGCGATATATCCCTAACAATGTAACTTTGAAAACACAGAAACGCGTTGCATTTTATGACCGGTGCCAGCCTTCGGCTAGCCCCCGGTAATGACAAATTAAGAAAAGCTACTGTTTTAATGGTTGTATAGGGTAAGCACCAAGAGAGAACTGAGTCAGGGTTGTAAGCACATCGTTTATTGTTTGAAAATATGTATCATTGTCCATTACACGTAGGTACTCAATAAAAACGAAAGTATTGTCAATGATAATTTTCTCCTGAGCTTTCTGAAAATCGCAACAATTAATTGACAGCAAGAAAAACCAGTCTGTCCTGATCGCAAAAATTAGTTCCCCCTAAACCACAGGTAGCCCAAGCTCAAAATATGAGCATCGGCAAATATCGGCATTGTTGCGTAACATTCGAAATATAAGGATTTGTATGGGAAAAAAAACCTATCGTTTCTGTTACCTACGAAAATGAAAGGATTTCAATAAGAAAACAGCTTACCTTACTTAAAATGTGTGTTACGTCTCTCCTGTATGGCCCACGAGCCGATTTATGGCCGTTTTATGGGTTTTTATGTAAACGGTTTTCTCTCTATATAACGAGAGAGAAAACCGTTTACATAAAAACCCATAAAACGGCCATAAATCGGCTCGAGGACCATACAGGAGAGATGTAACACACATTTTAAGTAAGGTAAGCTGTTTTTTATTAAAATCCTTTCATTTTCGTAGGTTACAGAAACGATGGGTTTTTTCCCATACAAATCCTTATATTTCGAATGTTACGCAACAATGCCGATGTTCGCCGATGCTCATATTTCGAGCTTGGGCTACCTGTGTAAAAACCGGTCAGGAGGGTTAATAGTTAACAATATTGGAAATGTAAGACGAAACTTGAGCGTAGTTTACGATGCGCCAGACAAGCAAATTACGCATTTGATAACCAGCAATGTTAACCGTTTTTGATCGGATTCAAATCCCGTTCAAAACGACTCATAAAGACACAGTGCAAAGACATCTAATTTTTCTATTTGCTAAGACAGCGTTCGGGTTCTCTGTGGTACTACTTTAAAGGGGTGTCAGTAAAACCCCCGGGGGAAAGGGACTCCGCATATGATAGGGGTGGGGATGCTCGTCGTCCCGCTTAGGGGTGCAAAATTTCAGATTTTGGTCTCACTTAGGGTGTTCTTGGCAAAACGCCATCAATTATTTAGCGGTGAAGGTCTTGTGCACGTGAAAAAAATGTAAAAATATGTGTATTGTCTGTGTTTTAACATGGTCTCTTTTCAGGGTCAAAAAAAGTACGCCCAGATGGGTCTCTTTTAGGAGTTTAATTCCAAATTTCCAATGAACATCCCCACTCCTTTCATATGCGGAGTCCCCCCCGGAGTAAAACACGGGGTCGGGGTCTATCTTTTTTTAAGAATGCTGTTTTAGAGTTAGGGTTACGGTTGCAACCCTGGGAGACTGGGATCTAATTATTAGCTATACCAAGATGGCGGACGAAGGAGGTGGAAGCGATTCTTCAAAGAAAGCGGCTTTAGATTACTCCTTCACCAAGGGGTTTGTGGTAGGAGTTGTCTTTTCACATATTAACAAGAGACTATTGCTAGGAATGTTGGTTGGGACTCTGACTGGAGCTTATATACAACAAAATTATCAGGGAATTCCAAATGTCGAGGAAACGGCGAAAAAACTGGCTCAAACTGTTCGAGAAGCGATGGAGAAAAAGAAATCCTGATCACGCTGGAGGAATTTTTCAAGACAAT